CCAAAAAACTGAGTTGCTGGGGGTTAACGGTAGGTGCTAATCCAGGTCTTACCACAAACTGAAAGGGTGAGGAGAATCTGATGGGTGCCGGGGTTAAGTTATGGTTAGCACGGGCCTGATGCTTTGTGGGTCTGGGGTTAATTATGTTTGGTCAGTGAGTTCAGTGCTATGTGCCTCTCTGTGGTGAGGTTTGTCTCTCTTTCTCTCTCTTCTTTCTCTCTTTCTCTCACTGTCTCTCTCTATCTCTCTCTCTCTCTCTCTCTCTCTCTCTCTCTCTGTCTCTTCTCTCTCCCCCTCTCTCTGTCTCTTCTCTCTCTCTCTCTCTCTCTCTCTCTCTCTCTCTCTCTCTCTCTCTCTCTCTCTCTCTCTCACACACACACATTAAGACTACACAGTCTGCTACTCTCTCTCTTTTTATCTCTCTCTCTCTCTCTCTCTCTCTCTCTCTCTCTTTCTCTCTCTCCTACAGTGTGTTCAGACTACACAATCTTCTACTCTCTCTCTCTCCTACAGTGTGTGACCTACCAGCCGATCGCGGAGATGGAGACGGCGCTTACAATCACTACTTCTTCAACCAGGAGACCGGGTCTTGTGAGGCGTTCACCTACTCAGGTTTGGGCGGGAACAGGAACAACTTCCGCTCAATGATCGAATGTCGGTCAGCGTGCATGTGCACTAAGGGAGCAGACAGAGAGAGGCGCACCGGTCCGGGTTGCCAAAATAAATATTTTTACGATGTCTCCAGGGACAGGTGCAGAAAATTCAACGCCAGAGGTTGCAACGCAAATAACAACCGCTACTCTAGTTTAGCTTGGTGCAACAGCGCGTGTGTGGTTGCCCGCTGCTATCTTGGAAAAGACAGAGGAGAAGGCGATGAGCGTATTACACGCTTCTTCTACAACACCAAGAGGGAGCAGTGCCAGAGATTCGTCTACAAAGGCGAGCAGGGGAACACGAACAACTTCGAAACAAGGGAAGAGTGTGACCGAAGCTGCTACCAACAAATCCGGAGCATTGACACGGAAACAGAGCGCCACCCGAACTGCAACTACCCCATGAAAAGAGGTTTTTGCCGACAGAACTTACAAATGTTTTTTTTCAATTCCGAGACGGGTGAATGCGAGTCTTTCTCCTTCGGCGGGTGCTTGGGTAACCCTAACAAGTTCGAAACCGAGCTTGAATGTAGGCAGAAATGTATGCCACCTCTCCCCCGGGATTAGACCAGCGCTGTGAGGCTGTCTCAAGTGTCCAGCATTTAGACAAACACCGCGAGTTGCTTACATTCTTACCTAACTAAGGTGTATACACCAATCCTGGCGCTTAATTTAAGCACACTATCTCTCTTCGAAAATATCATGCCTTTTGATTTTAATTTAAGAATTATTGAACTCGCAGAGCGAATATATCCCCCCCCCCCCCCCGCCTAATTATGCCTTGGGAAAGGGAAGGGAAATTATCAAAAATGTTTTTAAATTGCACATAGGCCAACTTGAGGCATGGAATTGAAAAATATAGTCACAGAAAAAAATCACGAGAAAGTTATAACGATAAAACATTCTTTTGGATATTATTGATTGATCGAGCATATTTATTTATTGTCAATTAAAAATATACATCTTCTTTTTACCACGTCTTCATTTGTCATATTTCCCTGTTGTACGTACCGCGCTCCTTCTGTTCTACTTTATTTCTCTTCCTCTTTCATTCTTTTTTTCTTTCTATCCTGCCGCTCCCCTTTCACAAAACCTGTCTTCATGGTTTTGTGAAAGACGCAAGCACCGCGGACTCTCTTTCAAATGTTTGCTAACCTCCTCAACGATGTTAACAAAACTAACTCCTGTTTGACTCAAGGTAAAAAAAAAACCGACCTACTGTTGAACTCAAATTCGATTCACTGAAATCATCGGCTTTGAGCCCAAATTGGGGAGACTTTGCCTATTCCTCGATCTGAACCTTGAGCTCAAGAAGAGATGGTCAAGTTTGTCGACCAACTACCTAAAGCTTTTGCTAAAGTCTAAAGACTGCCCACTGCCCACCCCTAATCACAACCAGCTTCGTATGCCGACCAACTACCTAAAGCTTTTGCTAAAGTCTAAAGACTGCCCACTGCCCACCCCTAATCACAACTAGCTTCGTATGCCGACCAACTACCCCAAGCTTTTGCTAAAGTCTAAAGACTGCCCACTGCTCACCCCTAATCACAACCAGCTTCGTATGCCGACCAACTACCCCAAGCTTTTGCTAAAGTTTAAAGACTGCCCACTGCTCACCCCTAATCACAACTAGCTTCGTATGCCGACCAACTACCCCAAGCTTTTGCTAAAGTCTAAAGACTGCCCACTGCTCACCCCTAATCACAACTAGCTTCGTATGCCGACCAACTACCCCAAGCTTTTGCTAAAGTCTAAAGACTGCCCACTGCTCACCCCTAATCACAACTAGCTTCGTATGCCGACCAACTACCCCAAGCTTTTGCTAAAGTCTAAAGACTGCCCACTGCTCACCCCTAATCACAACCAGCTTCGTATGCCGACCAACTACCCCAAGCTTTTGCTAAAGTCTAAAGACTGCCCACTGCCCACCCCTAATCACAACTAGCTTCGTATGCCGACCAACTACCTAAAGCTTTTGCTAAAGTCTAAAGACTGCCCACTGCCCACCGCTAATCACAACCAGCTTCGTATGCCGACCAACTACCCCAAGCTTTTGCTAAAGTCTAAAGACTGCCCACTGCTCACCCCTAATCACAACCAGCTTCGTATGCCGACCAACTACCCCAAGCTTTTGCTAAAGTCTAAAGACTGCCCACTGCTCACCCCTAATCACAACCAGCTTCGTATGCCGACCAACTACCCCAAGCTTTTGCTAAAGTCTAAAGACTGCCCACTGCCCACCCCTAATCACAACTAGCTTCGTATGCCGACCAACTACCCCAAGCTTTTGCTAAAGTCTAAAGACTGCCCACTGCTCACCCCTAATCACAACCAGCTTCGTATGTCGACCAACTACCTAAAGCTTTTGCTAAAGTCTAAAGACTGCCCACTGCCCACCGCTAATCACAACCAGCTTCGTATGCCGACCAACTACCCCAAGCTTTTGCTAAAGTCTAAAGACTGCCCACTGCCCACCGCTAATCACAACTAGCTTCGTATGCCGACCAACTACCCCAAGCTTTTGCTAAAGTCTAAAGACTGCCCACTCCCCACCGCTAATCACAACCAGCTTCGTATGCCGACCAACTACCCCAAGCTTTTGCTAAAGTCTAAAGACTGCCCACTGCTCACCCCTAATCACAACCAGCTTCGTATGCCGACCAACTACCCCAAGCTTTTGCTAAAGTCTAAAGACTGCCCACTGCTCACCCCTAATCACAACCAGCTTCGTATGCCGACCAACTACCCCAAGCTTTTGCTAAAGTCTAAAGACTGCCCACTGCTCACCCCTAATCACAACCAGCTTCGTATGCCGACCAACTACCCCAAGCTTTTGCTAAAGTCTAAAGACTGCCCACTGCTCACCCCTAATCACAACCAGCTTCGTATGCCGACCAACTACCCCAAGCTTTTGCTAAAGTCTAAAGACTGCCCACTGCCCACCCCTAATCACAACCAGCTTCGTATGCTAATTTATGTGTTCCTTTTTATTCCTGTTTACAGTTTTGTTGCTGTGGTGGTGGTTGTTGTTGTTGATGTGTGTGTGTGTGTGTGTGTGTGTGTGTGTGTGTGTGTGTGTGTGTGTGTGGTAGCCTATCAGTTCGAAATGTTCGGAGCCCCGAAGAGTGTGTTCTTCGCCAGGGCCACCGCCTTCCTTGTTGTTGTTGTTGTTGTTGTTTGTTTGTTTGTTTTTGGAAAGTGTTTTACGGAGCTCGCAACTGCTTAAGGTCATTTAATTATGAGCGCGAGGGATACATTAAACATTTTCGGTAGGTAGAAATTTTTTTAATTTGCCCCAGTGGCGGCCGAAGCCTACTCTTATCGATTTTAGACCACCAAGGGATCTTTAACGTGCGCAACTTACACACGGGACCCCCGAGATTTTTCGCCCTTGTCTAAGAAGGCTAGGTGTAGATCTTTCCTACCAGAAGATCAGGGGTGTGGCTGAAAGACAGCAGTAAGGAGGAGCCAAGGAGTAGCAGTAGAAAGGCTGCAGAAAGAGTCAGGAGCCCAGAGGAGGGAGCAAAGGAGGTGAGGGGGTGGGGGCAAAAAGTCGAAATTAAAGCAGACAACAGAACATTGCTAGAGAGCAGGAAAGGAGGTTGAAGGAGACGATTTTAGAGAAGAAAATATTTCGGTCGCTACCCGGATTCGAACCCGGGACCTTTGAATGAGAGGCCAACACCTTAACCTCTAAGCCTCAAGAGCCCCCTAGTATAGAGCAATAGAAGTAGAGAGCAATAGATGTATAGGGCAACAAAAGTATAGATTAGAATGTTTGAGGACAACAGTCAGGACACAAGGTATATTAATTTATTAGTTGGTTTTGAGGTGTGTGGACGCTTACATGCAATCCATCCATCACATTGTCTCTCTCTCTCTCTATCTCTCTCTCTCTCTCTCTCTCTCTCTCTCTCTCTCTCTCTCTCTCTTTCTCTGTCTCTCTCTGTCTCTCCCTGTTCTCTCTCTGTCTCTCTCTCTCTCTCTCACACACACACACACTCACACTCACACACACACAAACACACACACATTCACACACACACACACACATTCACACACACACACACACACACACACACACACACACACACACACACACACACATACGCATACACACACACACACACATGCACCCATACGTGCATGTGAGCACGCGTTTCCCAATCCTTTCCTTCCCCCATCCAGTCCCCTACCCATGTGTATGCTCGGTAAAGAGATAAACCAACAATTTGTTACCACCTTGGTACAAATCCAGTCCCCTTCCTATGTTTCTGCTCTGTAAAAGATAAACCCACGATAACAGCATGTGAGGCAGCGTGGTGGTATCAGGCTCTCGTCAATTTTTGGGCAAGTAGAGTTATTGGTATCATCTTAAAGCTTGTTCACTTGTCTTTATTTGGGTGGAAAAAAATATCCATTTATCTTGAATACAAGTCGAGATATTTGAGAATGAAGGAGGAGGGGGTCACCTGTTTTCAGAGGTAAAATGAGTGAGAAAATGGCTTCCAAAGATTAGTTATTTTCTTAGCTTTAGAGTCCGTGGTAATAGAAAATTGTCATTTTTTGTGCCTTTAAATAACGTTTTTGAAAAAAATCCACACGGAAATTAGTTCTTTAATGGGCATGAAAGGTGTTGAGCCAAAAAACTGAAATTCACAAAGCTGCGGAAAAATGCAAGTTTCTTCACTTTGATAATTTTGACGAGCGCCCGATTCCACCACGCTGCCTCACATATTATTATTCTGTCAACACCTCGGTATTAAGAGACCAGCATGGCGAGGTGCCAATATTATTACCCCCCCCCCCCCTGTTCACTATCTCTACTCCCAACACCTTCATAAATGCCTAGTACGTTTGCCTGTGCATTTCACCCAGACAAAACAGATACCAATCAAAAACAGATAAAATTTAAATTTTAAATGAAGCTTTTCGACCATAAATGAATTATCAAAGGTTTTCATGTTTAAAATAATCTTGAATGGAAGCCAATATATTATTTACGGTTGAAGTCTTTGAATCTAAAAAATTAAATATAATTTACATTTGTTGTGGGTGGAGGTTTTTTTTGGTTGTTGTTGTAGTTTGTTTGTTTATGTTCAGGATTTTTGTTTGTATCTTTGATCAATGTTCCAGTAACATCCACACAGAAATTGAAATGTGTTTGTAAATGGACTTAACGTAAAATGTGCTGATTCAGTCAAACAACGATAGCCAAGGTTTTCTATCGATTCGCAGAGAAAAAATTTCCCTAAATGTATTTTCTTTTGTTTTGTTTGTTTTTGTTTGTTTTTGTTTTTTTTGTTTTTGTTTTTTTTTGTTTTGTTGTTTTGTTGGGTTTTGGATTTGTTTGTTTGTTTGTTGGGGGGGGGGGTTTGGGGGGGGGGGATCAGGTGACCTTTTGTAAGAACTACCTATTTTGATTTCTTCCCTTACTAGAAATGTTTCACTTTCAGAGGTTAGAAAAATAGGACCTGGACGATTTTTTTAAACCCTGGGAATGGTCATATCTTTTATTCTTTTACACCTTTGGATACCGGGGGACCTTGCTCAGATGGTGACGATATTATATTGTTTTTCAAAACTGGGAACCTACCAGTACAACTTTTTTCTGGATGGGCCCATGGGG